ACTAACAAGTTGAATATTTTTACAATTTGTTATTCTTTTTTTGTCAATTTTTTTTTCAATTTGTATTATCATATTGAATTCAGTTGATTTTTTGTGAACAAAATGAAGAATAATTTTTCACTATACAATTTTTCACCAAAATAAGTGCGAAATAGGATGTAAACTGACATCTACCTTTCAACTCCAGGGCCTATATCGTGATTCAGCTGGAAGATGCTAAAATCAAAAATGACCGGAAAAGCCTAATGGGCCTCATCTCAAAGCGTGAACATACCTTTTTTATGTGACAATAATCCGTCCAATGAGAGGTCAAAATGCAAAATTCTTTGGGAGTACAATCAGGAAAATACCAAATATAAAAGGTGCAAAATAGTAGAGCGAATGGGACTTTTATTAAGAAAAGGATTTCTATCCTCCCAGAAATTCTTCCCAAACATTCAAGATACCTTAAATCGCTTTTGCAGGTCATGATATAGATCATAACTCACGGATAAGGGTACAACCCGATTTTATATTTATATAACCATCGTATGATTCAAGCTATTTTTGGGGTCTTAGTCCCTTTTTATTTTTTGGCCCTTATTAGGCATCTTTGTGTCTAAGGGGGTACAGAACCTCTTCGCATAAAATTTGAAATTTTCAGAGTAGGGCCCATATTGGTCTTGAACACATTCATCAATTGATTTGGCTAAAAAATGTTGTTATGCTACCATGGGGAAGGGAACCATCATACAGATAATTGCCACATAGGAATTATTTAAGTAAAGTCTCCACATTGTAGTATCCCCAAGTCCACTTTCACATCTAATGTGTGGTCAGAAAGGAAAATTTTGTATTCTATTGAATTTGTAACTCCCAAGAGAATATTGGTTGGGAACGTAGATTTGGAATGTACATCTATATGAAATAAATTGTGGGAACATGAACAAATTACAAATATAATAAAGTAGTACGGGACCGAATATTTGTTGAATCGACATTGAATTATACTATGATGAAAAATATGGACTTTATAGGGTCTCCAATTTACAATTTAAATGGAAAATAAAAAAATTCCCATCTTACGGTAATGGGTGTGAAATACCTATAATTTTGAGTTGGCCTCTATTTGCCATATTGGATTATAAGGGGTAGAAGAAAGTTTTCAAAGTAGGTCGATGTTTCGGAGTAGTGCCCATATAAAGGTACCTCCTGATTTTACCATATTTCAAAGGATTTGGCTAAAAATGTGTATTCGGGGGGTGAAAATCTTACACAAAAATGTCAACATATTCACAAATTTTAGAATTTTCTCCATGCAATAGTATCCCCTCAAGTCCACCTTTTGGCGGACAAACAGACCGACATGGTTAGGGGGACTTATGAGGACTCTAATGCACAATCTAAGGTGCTAATGGGTTTAAAAAAGTAATTAACTTTGCCTATTCTTAAATCATTCAGCCCTCAATTATGAGGTGTACAAAATACAGTAAATTCCAAATTGCTTCTCATTTGACTGTAAAATTTTGCTACGATTTTTACCATACTAAAAATTAATTTGATCACTTACATGGGGATAAGATTCATATATACTTTTTAATCGATTTGTATAGCACATCCACACATTTGAAGAACACGGTTTAAATATTGAAGTCCACGGCTTATAAATGGGTACAGATATTTTAAAACACTTTTAATCGACCAGTACGCAAACATTTACATCAGTCATATCTGTGAATAATTATGCTTTTAAAAATATGCATAATAAACAAAAACTACGGGCCGGCAACGCGGACCGGGCCAGCTAGTTGAGTAATATTTAGTGGGTGAAATAAACCATAACATTTGTGTTAAATAAAACTAAAATTTTCCATTATTTTTATCGCATGCGATTTATATACCCTACACTACAAGGTGGTCAGGGTATTATGTCTTTGTGCATTGGTTTGTAACAGGCAAAAGGAAACGAGATAGACCCATAGTTCCTTTTGATGATCTGCATAGAATCACATTCTGAGTCGATTTATGCATGTCCGTCCATCTGTCCGTCCGTCTGCCCATTTATTTTTGTTAACAAAGTACAGTTCGCATTTATTACCCGATCAAGATGAAATTTTGCACAAATCATTAGTTTAGCCAAAGGATGAATCCTATTGAAATTGGAGATAATCGGTGAAAAATTAAATATAGCTTTCATATATATCTTCGTCCGATTTGCCTTTTATTGTGCACATACAACCAAATTAGGCCTGAAAAAAAGTATGCCAAATTTGATCGAAATCGGTTCAGATATAGCTATAGCACCATTATATATTGTTCATCCGATTTGTTATTTTAATCCTCCGCAGCCGTAATATGCACCCTGTAACAACAATATTTGGGAATATATATAATACAGCTCAGAAATATCTTTGCTAAATTCTATAGCTATAGCTCCCATATATATTGTATATCCGATTTGTTATATTTGTTAGCCACAGCCGTAATATGCACTCCGTAACAACGATATTCAGTTAAATATATGAAATACAGCTCAGAAATATCTTTGCCAAATTTTATCAAGATAGGTTCAGATTTGGATATAGCTGCCATATATATCAAATGGGCAATACAAATCCGATTTACAAAAAAAAAAAAAAAAACAAATGCTTCGGCATATTTAGTCTTTTGAACTTTAAATTATAATTATAATCATAGCGTGTACGATTGGAATCTCCCATAAAAACTAAAAAAAAAAAAATTGTTTTGTGGAGCTCTACTAAATTAGCAAAGTGGTGTAAGGTATCATAATGTCGGCCCCGCTCGACTTTAAGACTTTTTTTTTTACCGGGTTCAATTTGACTTATAATATTGTAGTGTATATTTTGTAATATTTTTCACTTTACAACACATATTGCATTATCGTCCAATCCTCATGAAAAGGGTAGTGTTAGGCTCAGAAGGGATAGGCCTATAGTTTTCAAAGATATCCGCAATATATTTAGGGGTTAAAATGGTCAAAAAACTAAAAATGTTCCTGATTTTGAAGCCGTTATAAAGGTCATAAATAGAAACCAAAGGACACGAAATCTCGCATGAAGTTAGAGTTTAGGACAGCGGGTAGAATGAACCACTATTTTTGTCTGAAATATACCAACATTACTTATAGGCGATATCCGAAATACACAAAAGACGAACTTTTTATATGCTGATTTCGTTGACGAATATAGTCAGGTATCGTAGACAAGAAAATCATATAGATGAGACTAAATTTGGAGATGATCGCAAAATATTAGGGGTTCAAATGAACCAAAAACAGAAAAAATTTTCTGATCACACAATTGAAGCCATTCCACACACCTGAGAAGAGCGTTAAGGACAGGGAAGAATTCTAGCATTTTGGAGTAAAATGTACCACAACAACTAACAGCACGACAGAGTGCGTAAATATTGGGCAAATGTCTCTGGTCAAAATGCTAAGGGTAATATCTGGGCAGTACTCCGTGACATCATTTCATAAGGGAAATCTTCCAAAATAGATTTGGACATAAGAGGGCTACTAACATGTTGTAGTGTTTTAGGGTATCACATGGTCGGTCCCGCACGACTATAACCTTTGCTTACTTGTTATGTAATAATCCAGAATTTTCCAGGTTATGGTCTAGTAGGTGATTAGGAAACCAGCAAGGAAAGGGCAGGGTCGACTATTTGATACCCTACACCACTATGCGTATTTAGTAGGGCTCCCGCAAAAAAGTTTATATTGGGATTTCATGTAAAGTATACCATACCAACTACGAATTTATTTAAATACGTATCATGGCTTTAGAGTAGTCACAATTTGGGAACTATATACAACTCTGAATCGACTTGACGTAGGCTTTTGTACCTCTAGTACCAAATAACATTGCCATATGGTGCATGATTTGACTTCAATAAGAATTAGATTAAAAAACCGAGTTTCACAAAAAATAAGTTTAATATGAAAAAATCTAATATCTATCCGTAAAATCGAATGAAGATGTTTTTAGGAGGTAAACAAAAATCTGAACCTATCTTGACAAAATTAGGCAGAGGTATTTCTATACGATATATGGTACCAAATATCATTGTTGTGAAGTGCATACTACGCGTGTGAGGGACTTTAACAACAAATCGGATGAAACATATATATGGGAGGTATAGCTATATCTGAACCGATTATTACAAAATGTTTGTATTTGCTTCTTAGCTGAATTCCGTCGAAAGTGATCAAATTCAGTCCATTTAAGTTGATATTAGTCATTTGGTGCAAAATAAACCTGAAATCTGATAGAGATATACCCTGGAGTTATATCCAAATCTGAACCGATCTTGACAAAATTTTATTTCTGAGCTGTATCTGATATCTGGTACCAAAGATCATTGTTGTGGAGTGCATATAGATACTTGTATAGAAATTTCCAAGTTTCAGTTCATTTAGGCTGATATAAGCCATTTGGTACACAATTAACCCGAAATCGCCTGTGGATATATGGGGGAGCCATATCTAAATTTGAACCGATTCTCACCAATTTTAATATGGTTCGTCCTTGGGCCAAACATATTTTGTTTGGAAATGTCATCTCAATCGGATAATAAATGCGACCTGCAGTTTGTTCACAAAAGTACATGGACGGAACGATGGACAGACAGACAGATGGACAGATAGAAAATGATTCTATGAAGGACCTCAAAAATAACTATGGGTCTATCTCGCTTTCATCTTCATGTTATAAACAAATGCACAAAGAAATAATACCCTTTGCCACTATGTGGTGTAGGGTATAAAATGTCAGTCTGGCTATATGGAAAAAAGTAACCTAAAATGCTCTATTGATGCAAGATAGCCTCGATCGGTGACCAAAATGAGTGGTAACTTAAGTGTTTCGATTTTATTCTTAGTTCCAGTTCTTATTCTAATTTTTTGTGGTGACTTTTGATCGCTTGTATCTCCATTTATATTATCAACAAAAGAAGTATTCAATCAACACCCAATTCCCATTAACAAAAACAAAGTTACATTTTACATTCATTGTTTCATTTATTTTCAATTTGCCATTCTAAATAAAACTTGCAGCGATTTACTGTCAATGGCATCGACAATTGTCATTTCAGTCATAGTTCCTTCCCTCTTACAACGATACAACATGGCCAGCAAACAGAACGTTGTGCTTGTTGCGGATGACGAAAGCAAATGGATGATCAGCATAGAAGGGAATGTAGGTTTTGGTTTCTACGAAGTAAAAGGAAAGCATTCGAATCACTGGCGAAAATAAAAGTTAAGTTTCAACTCACCATCGAGAACCAAATCGGAGGCATCACTTTCATGAATTTCAATCATTGCTGCGTGTTGTACTTCCGAAATTGGCATATGGCCATGACCATGTTCAAGCATGTCACTGAAGTCAGCTGAATGGGTAAACATTTCGTAGATGCCAAGCTGAAAACGACAACATTACATTTATATATGGACTTAGGGACCAAATATGTTGGCCTTACCTTCTGTAGAGCAACTTTAAGTGGAATACTGGAACTAATTTTGAATTTGGGCACGTAGACATCCATTTGTTCCATTTTCCAGTGATCGTTAATATCGTCGAAATCGAATGACTTGAGTTTCTCTTCCAATTCATATAGGCCGTTTTTCTTATTTGGCAAAATGATGATCATCGAGAGATCGCTCTGTTCGAATGGTGCCTCCAAAAGCTGAGCATCCAAAATGGAACTTTCGGCATAGTGGAACAAGTCCTTTGCATGGATTGTGGGGACCTTAATGCACTTCTCTTTGTCCAAGCAGAAGTCACGTTTGACGGTGAACTCCTTGCAGAAGGGACGAGCCCATCCTCCCTTGAGGTATGCCGCACTGACCATCTCAGCAATGGTGTGCTCATCGATCGAACTGCAAATTTGACGGATATTTCTCTTGGTCCTCTTCGATATCCATTGATTGATAATGTCCATGGACTTCTCTACTTCATTGAAATCAAGGGACTCGAATTCTGAATGGAAAGGCGTCTCAGCATGCAATCTATATTTGTCGGATAGTTTAATATCGTGATTGTAGAAAAGTTTGTTGGTAAAGTCCAGAATTGTACGATTCATAGAATCCGATGTCATTTTGGCATGTTTGATCAGATCGTCTTTGTTCTTCGTAATATGGAGGGCCAGTCTTATTTCTTCCGCAGTGTAGCCATAGGCACCACAATAAAGCGTTTCCATGGCATATTTTATGGCCAGTGGAGACATGACGACATTTTCCTTCGATCTCTGCAAAAGTACTTTACTCAACACTTCCATCTCAAAGTCGCGATACTTCTCCACTACAGGATTGGCGTTGCTCAATGCCAACAACGATAGGCATATAGCCATAAGTTCTGAAACGGAAAATGATTTTAGGAACCACATTTATTTTATTTCTGTTTTTCGTTTGCCCCACACTTACTTAAACACAACTTCATTGCTGCAAATATTTTTTAGAATCGTAGGTGCTCTGATTGGCAACTGATTCTGACAGCAGTTGTGAGCCGTATTTATATCGTGGAAGACCAATGGAGCTTGCCCAACTCTCTCACTCTCTTTCGTTGTTAATATCTTCCTTGAAAGTTAAATTTAACGCGCTTGGGAAAGATATACGACTTCTTGCATCCAGTTGGGTTTTACCAACAGCAAGAACACACATTCATTCGCACATTTAAGCTCATTTCAAAAGCGATTGGCGATTTAGTTTCTTTGTTCTTACTTCAAAAAACCGGTGTTCAATTCTACAACTGCCGAAGGGTGGGTTGCTTTCATATTCGTGGAATATTCTCTTTAGAACAATTGTTGGAAAATCGAAAGAGTGTTGCTGTATTGTGGTCACAGTGTTGCCGTTTAATTGTTTTAAAAAGCAAAAAGGCTACAAATTAAAGAAGTTAAATAAAGTAGATTCTCTTGAATGCCATCAAATTTTATAATGATTTTAGCGTATGACTCCACATTGAAAGTATAATTTAAATTTCGGTAAAGCTATTCATGTTACAGAACGTCCCAACTGTAAAGGATATTAGTTAGATAATCGGGTCACAAATCGCAGTACAAGGACTACATTATAAATACTGCATATTTTAAAGAAAGGAGATTATCTTTAGAAATATTTGCAGGCAAGTCACATGTCATTGAAAAATTTTTTAATATTTGAAATTTTAATCCTCAATCGAGCCAAGAAAGGGGTCTTTTTGGTCTTTTTTTACATATGGTTAAAAATTCCATTAAACGGGATAGCAGCAAGTCAAAATATTCTATATAATGATTTATCATAAAATTCTTTTATAGGTCTAGAAGATGTCAAAAGTCTAAATCTTACCTGAACACCTGGAATTCATATATATTAAAAACTCATTTAGTTCGTGCAAAAATCTGAACAAAATGTTTCCATCAATATTCCTAAACAAACCGAAAATATTTCATAATTTTCTCGGATTTTTTCCGGTCGACGCCTGAAAGCCGTCACTCTAAATCTCAGGAAAATACTTTTTATATTAGTGCAAGTGTTTTATGAAAATGAAATTCAAAATTTACGCACTAAAAGTGAAAAGTATGTCTTTGGTTTTTATGACACCATGTGTTGGGGGTATTATAAGTCAAATCAATTCGGAATGGTCTCTAGCCAGAAAATAATAAACAAAGAAAATCGCGGAAAAATATTTCAATAAAATGTGAATATTTTATTTTTTTTTTTTTTTTCATTTTTTGTCATGTTTTTTACCGCATGCGATCTTTTCAATTTGACTTACAATTTTGAATTGAACATTTTGCAAAGTTTTCCTCCACCCCATAACACTATATTTTAGGATATTTTATAAAGGTCGCAATTATTGTCCAATCCTCAAGAAATTTTGCACAGGGTCAGATATAAAGCCTCTTGTTTTTGAATATGTAAATTTTTGGGTTCAAATACACCAAAAAAATTAAATTTCTTGTAAATTGAAAAGCAATACACACGGAATTTTGCATGGGAAGAGACTTAAGGAAGAAAGAAATATGGACCAAAATTTCCGTCTGAAATTTTTTTGAATGCCTAACAACACGAAGGGGTTTATAAACATTGGGCAAATGCCCCCGATCAAAAAGTTAAGGGTAACATCTGGGCAGGGCTCAATGACATAATTTCAAAAACGAAATCTTCCGAATGGATTCGGATATAAGGGGGCTTCCAACTGATTGTAGTGTGCAATAGACAGTCTAGGTTGTGGAAAACGCCAAGTGGACTCGCTAATACTCGTTTATAGATCAAACCCCCAAAAGAAATCCTGGATTCTTTGGCCAAATGTTGTTAAGGCCTTTATGTAATTGTGACTATAAACAAAGGGACCCTCAGATGATTTGAGATATGTTTCGCAAGATTTAGAGCTTTGAAATTTAACGGAGATCTTAGAGAAACATAGTTCTTCTTTTGTCATCATTAGTCTAAAAAGATATTTTATGTTACTTTTGGGCGTCAAAAAGTCAGAGGGAAAAATTGCTTAAAAAACTTGGAATATTTTTGGGAACATTAATGCAAATATTTTTATTTAGTGGAAATAGAGATCTCTTTTCTTTGGTGTCGCATAGTGAACTTTATTTTTAGTGTTTCTGAATACCGGTACAGGTTTCGGTAAAGCACTTAAATACAGGGTGAGATAAAAAAACTTCAACCAACTTCAGACTGCTGTCATTTCTAAGCAACTCGTCCGACAGCTGTTAAAATTATTCCAGTGACAGCTCATTATCATGTTTACAAGAGTACAAAAGCATTTAGGTAAGAATTTTCCAGAAAAATGTTATTCGTGATGGAATTCAAGCGTGATAGTATGTTTTCTTTATATTTGGCTTGAAAACCACAAGTGGCTATCGTTAGAGCACTCCAGTATTTAAATATGAATAAATCGTTTGTTTCTCGTACCATCCTTCGTTACCGTGATATTGGTAGCGTAGCCCGACGTCAAGAAAGTGGACGGAAGAAAACAGCAACATCAGCAGAAATGGTTCGAAAAGTAAAGAAGCGACTTGATCGAAACCCGCGTCGCTCGTGAGCTGAACATATCGCAATATTTCATTCGTCAAATATTGAAAAAAGATCTCGGTGTAAAGCCATTAAAATTCCACAAAGTGCCAGAACTTACACCGCAACAGAAAGAAAATAGACTCAAAAGAGCTAAAGAGTTGCTTCGCTTGGCCGAAAGTGGTGAACTGTCGAATTTGGTTTGAGAAAACATTCGTTGTCCAGCCGTTTGTAAACAAACAAAATGATCGTGTTTACTTGCCAAAGAGGTCAGCTGAAAATGTGCACCTTCGGTTGGCCACCAGAACTCCGGCCATGGTGATGGTCTGGGCCGCCATAACAGCCGATGGTCGCTCACCGCTCGTAGTAATCCACCGTGGCATCAGAATAAATGCAGAATACTATCGCGAACATATTCTAGAGGATGTATTAAAGCCTTGGGCACGCAAACATTTTGGTAGACTTTGGACATTCCTACATCACGCTATCTATATCGATAATTCTCTTTCAGGAGGTAAAGTGCTCATAAGAAACTCCTTGTGTAGAATTTCAGACAATTCTGTTGATAATTGTGGCTAAAATCATCAAAATACCGAACATCGGGGGGTATCGTTATTTAGGGGCTACACGATATCGGGTACCGATATAGCCCATCTTAGAACTTGACCTGCCTGCACACAAAAGAGAGATCTGTGCAAAATTTTAGTTTCTTATCTTAATTCGATTTGACTGTAGCGTGATAACAACAGACGGATGAATAGGGCTAAATCGTCTTAGAATTTTACGCTGATCAAGAATATATATACTTTGTTGGGTCTAAAATAATTATTTCGATGTGTTACAAACGAAATGACGAACTTAATATACCCTCCATACCATGGAGGGTATAAAAATGTAAAAATTATGGCGTTTGACTTGGTTGCAGTTTTTTATCTCTCCCTGTGAGGACATCTTTTGATTTTCAGAATTTTTTAGGTTTGAACAATATTTTCCAAACAAATCTACTGTAAATTCACATTTTGAGTTCTTAGTAGATATGTTTGTTACATACCCCTTATAGCAGGTTTGACTGAATTTGGTATGTAGGGTTTTTTGTGGATAGAATCTATTCTTACAAAATACTTTCATGACCTTTTCCCGATTTTTGGAAATGTGAGGGGTTTCGCCACAATATCCAACGGTGTAGGATATAGTTTGCAATTAAGGGTTCTTACTGGTTAACACTTAGTTCCACTATTTAAAATGTCCCCTTATAATGATAACTAAAGATATTCTGTGTTTTGATTGTTTCAATCATGGTAGAGTTGTGCAATTGAAGGAAGGATGGTAATTAAATTTGATCAGCATAAAATTTGCCCGTCTGTGGCAATCGCTCTAGTTTCCGAACGAAATTAAGTATGTTGATAAAATTATACTCAAATGTGTTCTAGGTCTGCAGGAGCTTTGGTATTTAAAATATATAGATCCATCTAATAGATTTAGAGACATTATTCACTGGAATTGTTTCAAAGTTCGTATTGTAAATTAGTAATGGAAGTTGCAGTCTGTGACAGAAAATTGCCTACACAAAACCTCGTCTTCGGTACTCATAGGGGTTTTATGCGACATTCTATCGGAATTGTTTCACATTTCGGGTTTTGAATATTGTATAGACCTCAATATAAAAGTAACTCCCTATAAAAGTAGAGTTAAGTGTTACTTTAATTCGAAATAGTGGCATTTCCTAAATTGTGACTAGCACCGGGACCTAGATGGAGAATATGAATCTGTAGTCACGTCAGTTGACGAAACGACTAAAACATTAAAAGAGACTAAAATGGCCGAAACGTGAACTTACTATGAGAATAATACGATATGTACTGTATTAGACAATATAATCTAGAAAATTATTTAAAACCTTAAACAAAACCGTATCGGCAGCTCATATGGGGGCTATGCTCCGTAGTCAACAAACATTTAAAGACTATTCCGGAAAAGATTATTATATGTTAAATTAAGACAAATTTAGTCAAAGAATGTTAAGCGATGCCATTATAAAAGAGCTATACCTAAATGAGGACAGATATATACCATTTTTAATATCAATCGCACTACGAATAACATTTAAAACTGTTATATTTTAACAGTAAGTTTTTATTTCTATTTAAAATATTAATACCGATTCGGTGAACAAAAACTTCCAAACGCCGAAAATATATATTCTTAAAGAGACTTGTATTTGGAAACGAAGGGGTGATACAAATGTATATGCGAAATGTTCTCCATTCTTTAGAAGTATTTACTCCTGAAATTATGCTACCTTGAAAGATGTATAGCATTTGTCACATTTTATTGCTGAAGGTTATAGCACGGTGTTTCTTTTTCCAATTTCACACTTGGGAACATTTCCATTTAATAAAATTATCAGCAGACCTATTTAAAATTTGCTATAAATCTTAAAAAGCGACCACTTTCCCAGTCTGAGAATAAAAATCTAACAATGACAACACTGTTCGATAAAGCTTTTGCTGACCCTTACCAAGTTGCAGCAGCATTTCCAATTTCTTTGCACCAGATACTTGTGGTGCAGAGGACAAGGTAAAT